ATAAACACTGATATAAACACAGCCTAAGAATGCTAGCTGTGCACAAAAACAGCCAAGTAGTGATGCAAGCAAGAATAACTGGATATTTCCATATATGTCATTTAATATTTATGATCATTTGACATATCTCTTCAAGCTATGACAGAAAAATGCAGTTTTATTGAGCAGTTTCTGGTGCCTAAATTGCAATGAAACAGCACACTGTTTTGCACCAAAGTCCTTGTCCAACCAACCTTTTGGCTATGAGGTCACACCCCCCTTGCATGTGTGCAAGGGGGGTGAGACCTGGCCAGTGAAATTTGCCCCTGTAGTGATGCTGATTATTTTATTTTTAGCCTGTGGCGATAACCTGTTCTGGATTGAGCTTGATAAACCACTTATTGAGCTTTTTTCAAAAGCTTAATCATTTGCAAGCGTGCTACAGGTATAGATACAGGTATGTATTTTTTATTTTTTTTGCCTCGCTAGCCAACACAGGAATTTCAAAAACGGACACAGAGTGAAGTCTTCAAGGGAAAAATTCATTTGAAATAAAGAAATAACAGATATAAATGACAGACAAAATACAGTTTTTTTGAAAGTCCATCTATAAGTTGTGGAATATTAGGAAATGTAAACAAAAGTTTTAGACATTTATCGTAAATAAAGTTAACATCACTTTTTAATAACCAAAAGATGAACAGTTCTAGTATTTTATAAAAAAATAAGTAGTTTATTGGAGTGAGTGATTGGATCCTCTGAATATACTTACACAGTGTTTACACATAAATAGTAAGCTAAAAAACAAAAGTAAAGTTAGGCGTAGTTTTAGATAGATGTTATGTTGAGTATAACTTTTTTAATTCAGCATTTAACAGCCATGTTTCCTGGTGTGTGATGACAATTACAGCCTCAAAGAGCGGCTCCATAACTTTAAGTTGTTTGAACAGTTTGGGTCTTATTACGGACTGCTTTCTTAAAACAAACTGTCATTCTGACTTGTTTTGATTGTTTACATCCACACACATGCTTTTGTGCGCTGCCTCAGATTCGTACAGATAGTGCTGACTGAATGGACTGAATTGCTGTTGAATGCATTTGTGTAACAGTGTTATAATAATCATCACAATGCAACTGCTGTTTGTACATTCTTCATATCAGTCAGCATTCTTGGTTAGACTTGTCAGAATAAACAAAGGAATCCTGCTCACCATGCAGGCAGATAACAGAGACGTTGTTGACTTAATACTCATTCCAATCTCCTAACATCACTGATATCGGATATATTGCATATATGGAACACGTAGTCAACGTAGTTTTCCTTTCATTCTGTATCATCCGTGACCTTGGACAGGCTTATTTGCTCTCTATTCTCCACCTGACAACTGCAAAGACAACATCTGCTTTTAGAGAAATTGCTATTGATCCCCAGTTTAGCTTCCCGGCCCATCTCTACTCTCTATGCCAGTGTTTGTCTTGAGTCTCTGACACAGGCCTTATGTTACAGCACAATATAATGCATCCTTCTATCTCATTTCATTTATTTTATGTTGTTACGTTCCCCTGAGGGGCCTAGGCGGTGAGGGGGAAGTAACAAAAAGTGTCCAGGTCAGAAAAAGGAGTCAAGGAGGCAAAAGGGTTAAATCAAAGAGTTTTATTAAAATTCCTACCAAACTCAACTAAAAGAGACGGACAAGCCGCTAACACCATTTAAGGAAAACAAAACTCAAGCGTTGGTCAATAACGTAAAAAGTAAGTCAAAAAGAGAGAGCAGCTCACTAACTGCAAATACACCAAACAGGCACCGTAACATATGTGATAGTTTCCTTGTTTTTTTTCTTCTTCTTTGTATTTCTGTGTAGGGATGCATTTGTGCTCGCTCTCATCAACAGTGGAACCAGTTTCTTTGCCGGCTTTGTGGTATTCTCTGTGCTGGGTTTCATGGCTACAGAACAAGGAGTGGACATCAGTAAAGTAGCCGAGAGTGGTAAGAATACACCTTCCCCCCTGAAACGCTGTGTAATTTGTATTAAGTAATAAGCATCACCAGTGAGAGCCACATGTCCACAATGATGGCTCTGTTTCTTAATGTGCAGGTCCAGGCCTGGCCTTTATAGCCTATCCCAAGGCTGTGACTCTGATGCCTCTGGCACCGCTCTGGGCAGCACTTTTCTTCTTCATGTTACTCATACTGGGGCTGGACAGTCAGGTACTAATGACTGACTTTCCTTTATATCATAATTTTGGAGAAAGAACTCATCGTACACAAGATAAATACTAATTTTACTGGAATCTTACGTGCTTTTATTTTTTGGTGTCAATCTAATTCCTTCTCTTTTTCTATCACTCTTCCATTCACTAAAGAGACAGAAACAGCCTGAAACACCAGTTTTAGGATTGCATTTCTCAGCTGCCTGTTTGTTGTGTGTCTGTTTGAGCCACTGCCTACATCCATTGTTTTACAGCCCAGGGATTTGTCAATGAGCTTCTGTGTGATTCACACAGAGAGTGTCTGTCTGCTCTCCATTCATTTACTCTCACTTTCAATTCTCTCCCTTTTCTTTCCCTTCTTTTTTTTAACTGGCATAGCCTATCAATATCCTGCCATCTCTGTTAAATAATGTAAAAATAGCTTCGCAGCTGTTATCTGCTCCACTCATTATGGTTGCTGTAATATGTTTAGAAGAGATACACATAAGCATTCTTTAACAGGGAGACGGTTCATGATAAAATGCTCACTTGCAAACTTTTAAGTGTCACTTCACTGCATCTGATGTACGATTGTCTGAAAGAGGAGTTTATAGAGTAGTTGGTGGGATGACACAGCGTCCACCTCTGTACTGGAAACAAGAACTAGCTCATTTCTGCACCTTTATGGATATTTTTGTGTGATATTTAATGTGTCTGTGATATCAGACAAAAATACTAACGCACACAGAGTCGAAGAATTCTCATTCACTGTTGTTCCTCTACGTTCCCTCTTTTTCACTTACAGTTTGTCGGGGTTGAGGGTTTGATAACGGGAATCATGGACATGCTGCCCCCAAAATCTGCCCTGGGCTCGCTTCGGCGAGAGGTAGTAGCTGCCATCTGCTGCATCATCTGCTTCCTCATTGACATGTCCATGGTTACTGAGGTAAAGTCAAATTTTTTGGTCATTAAATGTAATTTAGTTGTATTCCTCAGAATTAGGTATTTTTCTAGTTAGCTATTTGTAGATTACTACAGAGTACCTTTTTTGTATTATTCTAATAAGGTAGATTTAATTTCTTACCAGCCTTGTAGTAAAGATAAGTGTCCTTTATGGAGATTTGCATCATAACCTCCTTTAACTAATAATAAAATGTGCTTGTTGGAACTGTAAACCACTCTTAGAAACCAACCGCTCACACGTTGGCCCTTTTAGCCTTGTACCACTGCTGTGCTCCTAAATTTGTTAGAGTGAATGCATTCTGTCATTCAGACGTAGCTTTCACTGTAGATTTGTGGAAAGATTAACGGAAGGAACTGCATGTCTGAAATGTGTTATGAATTATTAAAAGGATGGTTCTGATGGTCTTCTGCTCTCACCGTTTCTATCAGGGAGGGATGTATGTCTTCCAGCTGTTTGACTACTACTCTGCCAGTGGCATCACATTGTTGTGGCAGGCCTTCTGGGAGTGTGTGGTGGTTGCATGGGTGTATGGTGAGACAGCGCTGCACAAACACAGCACAAATTATACAAACTGCACTGTCCAGGGCATTCTCACAACATCCTTACATTACCCCTGTCAGGCGCAGACCGTTTCATGGACGATGTGGCTCGTATGATCGGCTATCAGCCCCTACCCTATATGAAGTGGTGTTGGTCCTACATCACACCGTTTGTCTGTGTGGTACGTGCTACTTCATTATTTTTAAGTAAACTGTATCTGCAAGTGGAAAACTAGTAATATCTTGGCATTCATATAGGGAGTGTTCCTGTTCCACGTGGTTAACTACAAGCCCCTGACCTACAACACAGTGTACACATACCCCATCTGGGGTGAAGCACTCGGCTGGGCGCTGGCCCTATCCTCTATGCTCTGTATCCCTGTCACTGTTCTCTACAAACTACTGCGCTGCAAAGGATCTTTGCGGGAGGTCAGTGTTCATGGGTGCTGCCATGTCTGTTCACTTGCATTCTCCTGTTTCTGTTTACTTTTGGTCAGTAGGAATGCGTCTCCTTGGATGTTGCCATCACTCGTCTATGAGTTATTTGTTCAACTGATTTCCTCATTAATCATTAAAGAGGGCTTATTGCAGAAAACTAAATTGTCCGTCCCGTCCCAAAAAAACATCTCATTGTGTTTTTACTCTGTAGCGCTGGCAGCACCTAACCACACCAGTTTGGGGCAGACATCACCTGGAGTACCTGGCCCCTGAGAGTGAGGCCAAACTGCTGCCCCCTGCAGGAACCAAGGGGACGCTGCTCTTTGAGAGTGTCATCTGATGAGCTCCACAGAACAAAAGGGCCAAGGTCATCTTTGACAGCAGCAGACACGTACATACGCAAACAAACTTATAGATTATTTACACACCCTTAAAACTATAAGAAAGACCTGGACAATGGACCAAAGATTAGATTGGAGAAAAACAACCATGTATTCATCACATGCTGATATACCCTCTGCTCTGTTTTCTGACTCTACCTCGCCGGCTTGCCCCTCTCTTTCTGTCCCACTCCTGCGTTTGTGCTGTTCTGTCCTGTATTGCTTTGTCTGTGTGATGTAGTTTGTAGTTTGCAATATCTTCCCTTTCCACGCCTTCCTGTCCACGTTTTAACAGCCTCACTCAACCCAAGCAGCCATGCCATCTTCAATGAGCATAAACCTAAAAGAGTCTGATGAGTTGTTTTAAAATTAAAGACCTCATATCTGCTGCTGATAATGCCACGGTCTGAATGCTTATGTGTGTAGCTGCACGTATGCCTGTGCCCTTGTGTTTATAACCCTGTCCCGTGCGTGTGTGCGTGTCTGTATGAATGGGTGTTGCGTTAGACCGTGGGCCACGGTCTGTGGCGATGGTATTTTCCATTTATATGTAACATTGCCCTCAGCCATTGTTTCCTGCCAACTGTTCTCTGTGAATTAACTGTACAAAAAAAACAACTTCCATTTGTTAAAAACTAAAATTATCATGACAAGCAATGCACCACCAATTCCAGCTATGTATTATAAACTAACTTAAGTATCCAGTGTGTTGTACGGTCTGTGAATCAGTGTTAATCTTTGGAGGGGATGATTATTATTATTTCCACGTGAAGAGAAGGAGAGAAACCTCTGGGTGAGCTGTTTAAAGAGCAGGAGGCTAGGATGACAAAGAATTGCTGTGACGCCTGATGAGATGCAATAAATGGCCAGATAAAGATGGATGTAATGTGTCTTTTATGGGTCTTTATTTACATACTCATTCATTTTTATTCAAATAAGATATGTACAGAAAGTACAGAAAAACAAAAACAAACTCCATAGATGTTCAACAACTGCATGTTTTCAACATTTTAACCTTTGTGTTGTCCTTGGGACATTTTGTCCCTGTGGACCACAGCTGTATGGAAATCGGGACGATTGTTTAGTATGTAAAAGATGGATGAAGCCACTGTGATGTCATCCAGTGGTCTTTGGACTGTTTGTTTTATGGAGATAAATGTTTAATCTCAGTTTGCTGCTCCGTTTGGTCTCATTTCATTAACCCTCATAATGTCCTCCCGATTTCCATACACCTGTGGTCCTCAGGGTTAGGGTTAGTTAACATCCAGGTAGTTAAAAAAATAGCTTAGACCTTTATCAGTGTTCCTGCAGGCTCATCATTTATTGTGTTAGCATCTCATTAATTAAGAGTCATGAACATGTCTATTATACAGTTTACACATAAATACACATTGTGCGCTGTTTAAACAGTTGTGCACTATCAAATACAGTTCTACATTTTTGAAAGCTAAAAAGTAAAAGACGAGGGAAAAAAGCCGTCAGTTATCAGTACACAGACAGCAAATCAGGTTCTCGTTTAGCTTCTAAACAGGCGCACGGTTTAGCTTCTGATAGGAGCAATAGCAGATGACAACAATCCCAAAAATAGAAGGGAGCTCAAGATGTCAGCGCAACCACACATGTAAGTAATGACTATAAATAGACACACATTTTGTTACTCTAAAATGTAACAGCTATTACACAATGCATGCCATTCAGCTCATTACTGCGGGCTTTGGGAAGGGGTACTGTAAGAATTAAGGCTTGGGGGGGCGGGGAGGGGGCACAGCTAAACAGTAACACTGTTTAGATTTTATTGATTATGCTTTGGAGACTTTTGGCTTTTGTTGTCTTTAAAAAATATCAACTGCTAGATGCACGCCTCTCACATATGAGTGTCCCTCTGGGGTCAACCTTTCTAACACTCTGCTCTCTCACACTGGCTATAAATACACACTCCTATTAGTCCACTGTTACATTCTCCCACTAAAGCCCCGCCCCTTCCCTGTCCCTTGCATGCACCACAGTGTGAGAGAGCTGCAGTGACGTCTTGCTGTATATCTCATTAGAGGATATCATAAAAAGCCTGTTGCCACAGCAACCGCTCCCTATGTTTCCATAGCAACCGGGCGCCATGTCAAGGTGGTTCATTCTCCCTTTACTGAAAGGGGAGGAGACGATGGTGAGTGATGAAACAGAAAGCAGCCTGAAAAGAGGAGGAGGAAGAGGGCTAAATTTGAGTGAATCTGACCCCTGCTGGTCACATCTGGGTGTTGCAGGACACATCCTGAAAGAAATTGTAAGATCCAGAGCTTAATGTGTGAAAATATCTCAAAGAATGTATTTCTTCAATGGCAAGTGATAAATAAACAGAGAAGTCAAAAGTGTGATAAGCATTGATGGTGACCCACAAGCACAAAATCCGCCTTCCCCCGTTTCTTGAGAATATAAAGCACTGCATCGTGGACGGTGATAAACAGCCGGCTCTTTGGGATGGACGCTGAGAAGAAATCCGCTGCTTCCAGCTGTTCCACGACACAAGCTGTTACCACACATACATGGAGAGAAATATGCATGACAATGGGAGAGCATATTGTAGTCATCTAAATAAATATTCATGTGTCATTGTCATCTGACAGGGCGTAGCAGGGCTCCACCGAGGCTATGACCTTGTCGCATTCATTATGTAAAGCTTCAGTGCCTTAATTCAGCATTAAGGAGAACCCTCTGTCTCTGTTTTTGTCCGATGTGTCTTTTACCTTGGCAGCCTGCTAAGTAGATGTCCAAATCAACTTCTCCAAAGTCCCTGAAAATCTGGGAGAAAAGGACAAATCTCATGTTAGTTCTCTCTTTGTCATCGTTAGAAAAATGCTAACATTTCAGCAGGCACACACATACATTTTTCAGTGTCTTCACAGTAACTGTGTCCACAAAGCTGGTTGTGGAAATGTCCAAGATGATGCTGTGCGTGCCCGATTCGCAGGCCTGTTTTTTCTCTTCATCGCCGTGCCGAGAAAACTCTGTGATGTGGTCAGAACCTGTGTCTGAGTCTGAATCTGACATGGTTATGTCAGGTTCGTAAGCCAAGTTCACTTGGCCTTTATGAAGGCCATCTGTAGCTGTTTCTGTCATGCTAAAGGCCACACTATTCCCGTTTCTCTCTCCTTTTGTTCTTTCAGAGACATTTTCCATGTTCATCTGGGACTCCTTTAAAGAGAATGTGCAACTTAGTGACTAAAGATTCTGACTTACTGATATATTTTGGAAGAATTAGCAAAACCTTAATTTCAGATCTCATACTTGTTTTTTTGCCTCCTTCTTGGCTTTCTTTTTCTCTTTCTCTTCTTTACGCTTCTGCTTTGCATCTCGTTTCTTGTTTGCTGATAGCAGCTTCCCAATCTCGATTCCAGTCTGCAACAAGAGCCAAGCATCACATTAAAACAGAAAGAGGAGAGAAAGTGAGAAGAGTGAGAGAGATAGTGAAAGCAATTGAGGGTGCTGTAGAAAGCAGAGGCAGATTTCACACATACGCACACACAGAGCACAGATTATTGAACACGCAACCACATACCTTCTCCTGCAGGACCTCCAAGAACATCTCGGCATTTGTGTAGTAGATAGTTGCAGATGAACGGAAGATTTTAATTCCAGGAATCTCTTTTGCCTGCATGAAATCACACATTAGAAGGTTTAAGAAACTCACACCCTGCTCTTATCCCATTTGCAGTTTCTGCTTTCCTCAGATGTTGTTTGACTAAAGGGAGCTCCTCTACCACTTAATGATTGTAAGTAGATGTAGCCTTACTCACAGCGCCCCACCACCAGGGTAAATCCAAACAAATTAGCATCTAGAGAAGGTAGTTGCACGCTTGCCACCTTACTGCAATCGGTGTAAATGGAAAGGGAACAATCTAATTTAGTTAAAACTGAAAGTCTGCAATTCTGTGAAGCTGTGATTACAGCTCCAGGAGGAAGACATTTAGGAAAAAATCTGAATTTTTAAACAAACATGCCAAGGTTTACTCTTGTTTTTTTTGTCTAGGAAACCCTTTAATACAGAAGTGCTTAACAAACATGTTTGACCACCTGTCATAAAAACAAGAAAATGAAAATATTTTAAAATTTGGCAAAAGCTTGTTTGACACTAAAAGTTAACCAAGCACAACATTCAAAACTAACATGTCAAAGGACGCAACTAAGTAGCTGCAACTTGGCATATTAATAAAAAAATAATGCGCTGGACTATTTTTGCTGCTTTTTTGGTTAAACAGTCAATTTGAAAAATCATGGAAAACAACAATAATTATATTTAAGCATTAAAAATATGTTTTTGATTGAACAGCTTGGATTACAGCAACGTAACGAAAGATTCTAGCCCCACTATTACTTTAAGGCATAAACACTGAGTGGTGGTCCAACAAACTTGTTGAGCACTCTGTTTCACACGTTCAAGCGTCAGTCTACTGGTGTCTTTCATTTCAACTAGTAGCCTTTCAGTCGCTTCCTTAAAGTTGATATTAGTTTAACTAGTGGAGAAGTGGAGAACTCAGATTTTTTAAAATCTACCACTAAACGCATGGTTAATTTCCTCAAGTAATATATTTATTGTTGTTATTAGAATTTGGCCAGCTTAAACTTTATTTTATATTTAATTTACCTCCTTGTAGGTGTCTGTGTCCAGATAAAGTTCAGTGCCTGGTAAGTTGCCCAAGATTGAGTAACGTGGTCTGAAAGGCATTAAAAATGTCAAAATTACACCAACAATTTCCCTGCATCTCATCTAAGTACCTCATCGTGATTGCATAGACATTACTAATTAATAATTAGAGTTGTGTAGTTACAGTTGTGTTCTGAAGATGAAAGTAAGCATGGAAAACGCAACAGAGACAGCCAGGCCCAGGTCCAAGTTGAGCACGATGGTGCTTATGAATGTTACAAGCCACACCAACTAGAGGGCGGTATGAACACGAAACGTTAACAAGGTCCACGGTGCCACAAAGGTCACACAGTATTCAGCTGAGCAGAGTGCCTGCTAAAGAGGACTAAGTCTTACCAAGTCAACCTTGTTGGTCTTCCACAGCAAAAAGACATCCATAAACTGCTTAAACATTCCTTTCAAGTTCACAAACACGATTGTGGATAAGACGGCCTGAGGAGCAAACACAGACACGAATGAAATCACGCATACCCATAACCTCACCGGCTCTGAAACTGCCAGGAGGGATGGCGATCATTAGCAAGAAATGGCTCAGGAAGGAGAGTGTTACCTTGGGGAGATCTTCAAAGAAAGGACCTATTTCCAAAACTGTGATCAGCACAATGATGGAGGAAATCACCCCCACAACCTTCCAAACACACACACACACACACACACACACAACAAATGGTCTCAAGATGACCATAAAAATCAGGTGTAATTTGTTGTAAATGTCTGTGCAAATGATTCAGCCAGTCCAGAAGTTTTCCTTCTTACCCTTCAATGTAAGATCATCATGAAGGCAGATGACCCTCAATCCATGACTCTCTAATGACTTACCTCCCACACGTCTGTGTGTGTTAACAGTTTAAATGGATGTGTTTAAAATCTTATGTTTGTCACATCAAATACTGATTTTTTTTCCTGTATATTTGAAGATTCATTTATAAAAAACTGTTCTTCCTCCTCCTTTTTTCTTATTTTAGTGCCTGAATCATTTGCACAGTTGCACTTTGTGCTGTTTGATCACAGAAGTAGTTGTTTTTACTTGTGTCTTGCCCCCTGTGCTCTCCTGGACAAGACTCCGTGACAACGAGGAAGTTACAGAGTAACAATGAAAAAATCCACCAATAGTGTTACTGAGACCCAACGCGACGAGCTCCTGGAAAGACAAAAGGCAGACAAGAGGCAACACTTTGGTTAATG